GCGCGTACGCACGCATGCAGGGCGCATGCACGCACTCTGTCCAGAATTGAGGACCTTGTCTGGCGACTTAAATCACCTCGGGCTACAACGCCTTCAACTCGCCCGAGAAGGCGTGTCAAACTACTGTCCCCCTGTGGACTGGATTGCTAAAAAAAATCAAGTCAATCGCAGTACCAGCACGCGACCGGGCGAGTGGAATGCTGTCAGGGAAACATCCTTCCACGGCCAAAGAGATAAAAATTGGTCACCCAAGTATAAATAGACATCTGAGCATCGAAATTTCACTCTTCTATTCGGAAAGTGAGTTGGTTTTAGAAGCAGATATCTTTCATGATGCAAGCTTGCACTCATAAGGGATCTTAACGTTCTCATTACACTTTGTGCTATGGTATGGCGGCTTCAAGTAATAGGGCGAGGGAGGATGTATTCGGAACAAAATGTGATCAGCCAACCGATCAGTTTCTGATCGAAATTTCGGATCGCTCGAAGATCCTGGGGGATAAACTACAGTTCAGAGACAAGCAAAACCAAAAGGCACTCTGGAGATCTAGGCTAAAGAACAGATCGCGCTATTTGCACGTCAAGGGAACGCAACCAATTAAAAAATAGTCTGTGGAAATTTTAGGAGACGCGCACGTAATCTACATGGGGTGTGCGCGCAAAATTACTATATTTATGTGGCGAGTGTTTGGGCATAATTTGACTTTCACATAAGAAGTCTAAATATAGCAATGCATTATCTACGTTAATAAACTGGGATGTTTTCAGCTTAAGCTTCTTGAGTTTCCCCTCCGAAGTACATTCCTAATTAATCACATTGATGGTTTCTGTATAATTCAGTATATATGAAGGAAATAGGCAGAAACCTGGAAAAATCCTATTTACAGATTGACGTATGAAAATAACATGCAGAAGGTTTCAACGTTTTCCGCTAAGACAACGGAGTTCTGCAATTCGATCCATCCTTCAGCCCGCAATTCGAGTTTGACATATTTTGCCTTCAAGTTGTATTGGTGGCCCCGAAGATTTGTCGTCCACGCCAGTTCAAATAAGTCGTTAAGCTGATGAGTACAGTGTAGCTCTCGGAC